TACATGAAAATAACACATTTATACAATATGCAAGTGTGAACATACAATAGTGCAATCTTTGAAAAAAAACAATTTAAGAAGGAATAAACTAGTAGGACTGTTATTATCCTTAATGAAGAAATCAAATCAAATAAATCTAAATCAAAATCGAAATGATGAACTCCTATAAGGAAGAATGGATTTGTAACATTCAATTACCCATAACAAATAAAATATAATATAACAAATAATGACAAAATTTGCACATGATTTACGTAGAAATTGATTATTTATAATATAAGAACAAGGATATGATAGTGAAAGTTTTGCAAAAAATAACTTTTCAATGACAGAATGACTTAGTGGCATTGCTATTACCCTTAAAAAAGAAAGAAAGAAAAGAATGTTTTATAAGAAAAATGAATTAGTGGCATTGGTTCGAAACCTAAAATAGTTAGTTCCTGCCTGCACAAGCTAGACATCCGAGGATATATCAAATATGCAAGGGATAGACAGTGCAATGCATAGACAAAAGAGCAAACAGTAACGACTACAGGCCCATTACCATAATCAACTGACCCAAAAAGAGAGTAAGTTGAAAACAACAAGCCTAAAACAGGACAAAACACGCAGTAGAAGAAAAAAAAACGAGCATGAATCTTAAAAGCCAAAATCAATGGCCAGAAAATCGACTGATCCAAATCCAAAATTCTGTTGACTGACATATCGCTAAAGTGATTTAACAAAACTGGCGTGTACATCAATGCCCGGGGCATCCCTTTTTTTCTACCGGAAGAAACTACCGTTGATGCTCGGTCTACTGGCTGTAGTATGAGATTTGGAACCTGTGATAATATGATTTGTACACTTCTTAAACCCGGTTCAGAGTGGTGTACTACACCTGCAAGCAAAGCAACTGGCAAAATTCCCGGTGGTACACAAATAATCATTTCTTGGTTAAGGGACAACCGCAGAGGGCATGCATGCAAGGGTAGGCTACTCCTACACGCCTACTACACCAAAGCGAGGTCTCTTGTACTTGTGTCCGTAGACAAGGTGTTGACTTTTTTGCTCATACCTTTACTCCTGTTCGTTGACCTTCTCGTCACGCAGCTAGCCGACGCATGTGCCGCTGCTACTACTTCCACCGGCCTACGTACGGAGGACGTAGAGTACTGACTACATAGCAAGTCATGAATACACTTGCATGCATCCGGGCCGTCCAGCGTCCGATCGGCCGGACGTCCTTGCTCACGCGTTACAGCTCTGAGCTGGTGAGCCTGCCCGCCCGCCTGGTTGGTGCACGATGCACAGTGCACCCTCCTCGTCTACATTTACTTTGGGTGCATGCATGCATGGTACCAATGGCGCAGCAGCTTAAAGTACCAAGGCGCACACGAGCCGGCCCGGCCGGCCATTACTCCACTCCCGCTGCCGCTCCGCTTTACTCATGCCTCCCCTGCGCCGCATGCCCGCCGCTCGCTCTCCCGTCACACAAAGGTGACGGTCGATCGACCGATGGATCACAAGGGTGAAAAACGCTGGCGGAAAAGGCCACCTTTAATGCGGGCCTCCGGCCGGCCGGAGAAGTTACCGATGCGCATGTCAGCGTGTGCGTGTGCATGTGTGTGGCGCTGACCGGCGGCTGCGGGCGGTCAAAGTTAGACCCTGCGGCCCGCGGTGGCGCCGCGCGATCTGGATTAACTCCGGCGGGAGGCGGCCGGGATTCCAGCGCTGGCCGTGACGCGCGCACCATGGAAAGGGGCGCTAGCTACCGGAGTCCGTTTGTCCGTTTGTTTGTTTGGAAAAGCGTTTGATTTCGAGATGTCAGCTCAGCTCAGACCCACCCAGAACGAGTCAAAGGTTTGCATGGATGGACACCAGCGGTGCTCTCGCTTGGCATGCAATGCGTGCATGCATGCAGACGAACCCTCCTGGAGTTGGAGGAGGTTTGCCGTGCCACAAACATGCTTAGCACACGCGCCGAGTTGGACTTCCGCTTTCGGATTCGTGTCCAGCGGGATAAGCGTGCCAAGGTCGCTAGAACGAAGTGGTGGAAGCTCAAGGGGGAGGTAGCTCAGGTGTTCAAGGAGAGGGTATTTAAGGAGGGCCCTTGGGAGGAATGAGGGAATGCGGACAATGTGTGGATGAAGATGGCGACTTGCATTCGTAAGATGGCCTCGGAGGAGTTTGGAGTGTCCAGGGGAAGGAGAAGCGAAGATAAGGATACCTGGTGGTGGAATGATGATGTCCAGAAGGCGCTTAAAGAGAAGAAAGATTACTTCAGACGCCTATACCTGGATAGGAGTGCAGACAACATAGAGAAGTACAAGATGGCGAAGAAGGCCGCAAAGCGAGCTGTTGGTGAAGCAAGGGGTCGGGCATATGAGGACCTCTACCAACGGTTAGGCACGAAGGAAGGTGAAAGGGACATCTATAAGATGGCTAAGATCCGGGAGAGGAAGACAAGGGATATTGGCCAAGTCAAATGCATCAAGGACGGAGCAGGCCAACTCTTGGTGAAGGACAAAGAGATTAAGCATAGATGGCGGGAGTACTTCGACAAACTGTTCAATGGGGAGAATGAGAGTTCTACCATTGAACTGAATGACTCCTTTGATGAGATCAGCATGCGTTTTGTGCGGCGCATCCAGGAGTCTGAGGTGAAGGAGGCTTTAAAAAGGATGAAAGGAGGCAAGGCGATGGGCCCTGATTGTATCCCCATTGAGGTGTGGAAAGGTCTCGGGGACATAGCGATAGTATGGCTAATCAAACTTTTCAACCTCATTTTTCGGGCAAACAAGATGCCAGAAGAATGGAGACGGAGTATATTAGTACCAATCTTCAAGAACAAGGGGGATGTTCAGAGTTGTACTAATTACCGTGGAATTAAGCTGATGAGCCATACAATGAAGCTATGGGAGAGAGTCATTGAGCACCGCTTAAGAAGAATGACAAGCGTGACCAAAAATCAGTTTGGTTTCATGCCTGGGAGGTCGACCATGGAAGCCATTTTCTTGGTACGACAACTTATGGAGAGATATAGGGAGCATAAGAAGGACTTGCATATGGTGTTCATTGACTTGGAGAAGGCCTATGATAAGATACCGCGGAATGTCATGTGGTGGGCCTTGGAGAAACACAAAGTCCCAGCAAAGTACATTACCCTCATCAAGGACATGTACAATAATGTTGTGACAAGTGTTCGAACAAGTGATGTCGACACCGATGACTTCCCGATTAAGATAGGACTGCATCAGGGGTCAGCTTTGAGCCCTTGTCTTTTTGCATTGGTGATGGATGAGGTCACAAGGGGTATACAAGGAGATATCCCATGGTGTATGCTCTTTGCGGATGATGTGGTGCTAGTTGACGATAGTCGGACGGGGGTAAATAGGAAGTTAGAGTTATGAAGACAAACCTTGGAATCGAAAGGGTTTAGGCTTAGTAGAACTAAAACCGAGTACATGATGTACGGTTTCAGCACTACTAGCTGTGAGGAGGAGGAGGTTAGCCTTGATGGCTAGGTGGTACCTCGGAAGGACACCTTTCGGTATTTGGGGTCAATGTTGCAGGAGGATGGGGGTATTGATGAAGATGTGAACCATCGAATCAAAGTCGGATGGATGAAGTGGCGCCAAGCTTCTGGCATTCTCTGTGACAAGAGAGTGCCACAAAAGCTAAAAGGCAAGTTCTACAGGACGGCGGTTCGACCCGCAATGTTGTATGGCGCGGAGTGTTGGCCGACTAAAAGGCGACATGTTCAACAGTTAGGTGTGGCGGAGATGCATATGTTGAGATGGATGTGTGGCCACACGAGGAAGGATCGAGTCCGGAATGATGATATACGAGATAGAGTTGGGGTAGCACCAATTGAGGAGAAGCTTGTCCAACATCGTTTGAGATGGTTTGGGCATATTCGGCGCAGGCCTTCAGAAGCTCCAGTGCATAGCGGACGGCTAAAGCGTGCGGAGAATGTCAAGAGAGGGCGGGGTCGACCGATTTTGACATGGGAGGAGTCCGTTAAGAAAGACATGAAGGATTGGAGTATCGATAAAGAGTTAGCTATGGACAGGGGTGCGTGGAAGCTTGCTATCCATGTGCCAGAGTCATGAGTTGGTTGCGAGATCTTATGGGTTTCACCTCTAGCCTACGCCAACTTGTTTGGGACTAAAGTCTTTGTTGTTGTTGTTGTTGTTGTTGTTGTTGTTGTTGTTGTTCCGTTTGGGAGACGGCGGCCGGAGGTAACGGGCCATGTCGTGGCACGCAGGTCGCAACATGGCATATGGTGCCACGCCACGGCCACGCAGAGCGGGCGGGCGTGCGATTAATGCACGCGGCATCCATCGCATCGCAAGGCGGCATGCACAGTGTCGCAGCTGCAGCTGCAGTGTACCGCCCCACCACCAGGCTGACTTTGTCACGAGACCGGAGTAAATGCACACTCTGGCCACTTTCCCTTTCTCCCTGCCTCTGCACGCACCTCCCTATCTCCCTCTCTCTCTATTTTGACTGCTCAAGGAAGGAGCCATGGCTCGCAGGCTACAGTACTCCTACCACCCTGGCTAGCTGTCTCGGTATCCTGGCCGTGGTAAAAGCGGCCGGGAGCTAAACAGCCCAGGTAATCGCAAGGTCAGCGCCGTGCTTTGCTCTGGGCCTTGGGCGTGACCACCGAGCGTAACCGTGTATATATACGCGCCTACACCGCACCCCTGCTCTGGACCCTGCAGCGAGCGAGCCTTGCTTGTCCTCACCCTCCTCCCTCACCCCGCTCCCTCCAGCGCACCACAGCCTCCGTCTCCACCTCACCTCAGTCTAGCCTCCTCTCCTCACCTCACTCCCTTTGTAGCGTAGCAGCGGCCCGCGTCACGCGATCCTGCTCGTATACGGCGCCGGTGGCTAGACCTCTTGTCCCCGCCCATCTCGCAACTGCAGCAAAAGGCGACCGACCCCTCCGTCCCTTTCTCCCTCTCATCCCGTTCGGTGTAGCCGAGGTAGCAAGCGGGGGAGCGGGAAAGAGCATGGGGAGGCCGCCGTGCTGCGACAAGGAGGGCGTCAAGAAGGGCCCCTGGACGCCGGAGGAGGACCTCGTGCTCGTCTCCTACGTCCAGGAGCACGGCCCCGGCAACTGGCGCGCCGTCCCCACCAGGACCGGTACGCATCCGTCCATCTTCTTCTTCTTCTTCTTCTTCTTCTTCTTCTTCTTCTTGCCGGTTTTTGTCTTCGTTTTCTGTGGATCACGTGGTTGATTGTGGACTAAATCCCTCTGGTGTGCAGGCCTGATGCGGTGTAGCAAGAGCTGCCGGCTCCGGTGGACCAACTACCTGCGCCCGGGGATCAAGCGCGGCAACTTCACCGACCAGGAGGAGAAGCTCATCGTCCACCTCCAGGCTCTGCTCGGCAACAGGTGGGCCGCGATCGCCTCCTACCTCCCCGAGCGCACCGACAACGACATCAAGAACTACTGGAACACGCACCTCAAGCGCAAGCTGCAGGCGGGGGGCGACGCGGCGGCCAAGCCGGCGGCCCAGAGGCCCGCCTCCTCCTCCAAGGGCCAGTGGGAGAGGCGGCTGCAGACGGACATCAACATGGCGCGCCGCGCGCTGCGCGAGGCGCTGACCACGCTCGACGACATCAAGCGGCAGCAGCCCGACGCGGCCGACGGCGTCAATGGGCCTGCCGCAGCCGGCGCCGACAGCGGCAGCCCGGCGGCCTCGAGCTCGTCGGCAGCGTCGCTGTCCCAGTGCTCGCCCTCCGCAGCCGGTCCGTACGTGCTCACCACCGCGAACATCTCGCGGATGCTCGACGGGTGGGCCAGCAAGGGCCGCAGCGCCGTCCCCGCGGCCGACAGCCCCTCCGGCTCGTCGGCGTCGGAGGTTTCCTACGGCAGCGGCGCGGCCGCCCGTGCGCTGGGGTCCGCGTTCGAGTACGACAGGAAGCCGGCCGTTCTGGCGCCGGATCAGACGCAGCTGAACGCGATCGAGACGTGGCTCTTCGCCGACGACAACAGCAACAACGACCACCATGGCCACGGAGGCGGCGGCAGCGGCCTGCTCGGCGTCCCCGCCACCCTGGGCTACCCTTTCTAGCTAGCTCCACCGTGCCAAGTTATCAAGGTCGATGTTCCCCTAGCTCGCGTTAGTGATGTGAGGAGTGTGCTCACTGCATGCCCACCTAACGAAAACTACATAGATCCTCTAGTAGTAGTACCTCGGTGGCTATGGCAATCAGCTTCCTTGGTCTCCTGTGTTACTTAGGATCTGCATAGTTTTCATTTAGGGAAAAGAAGGGAGGTTGTGGTAGCTAGCGCTCCTGTTATTTACTGCTGTAACTGTGACTTGGTACTATGTTCATGGGTTTTGGGTTCTGTACTTTGAAGTAGATCCGCTGTTTGCAAGCTGCAAAATGTGGACGAATAAAGTCAGTGTGTCAATTAGTACATGTCATGTCTTCCATCACTACTTAACCACTATGCCAAATACTGGTACCTGTCATATATCTATCACTAATTAAGTAAGTTGATTAATCTTTGGAGTATGTCAATTACTGCCTGTCATATATTTCCACCACTAATTGGCCAGTATGCCAAATACTGGTACATGTCGTATATATGTATCACTAGTTATGCCAGTAAGTTGATTAATCATCTATCTGTCTTTAAGTGGGGAAATAGTTTCATTTTGTTTCTCTCTATTTCCTGTTTTGTTTTTTTTGCTTCCTCGGAGCAGTCCACTACATGACAACGCTTTGTCCCTCGGGTGATTAGCTGAGTTGATACCAATTGATCGAACCTCAAATTTGACTTGGTGCGTGTATTTTTCTACAATTGATTTGGCGTCTAAAGCTGTTCAAGAGTTCGTACTTTTAGAAAATCTGAGAACAAACACTATTCCATTCACGCGTGAGAATAAACGCTAGATGAACAAGATATTACTGCTCCTTCTGTAAACAAATATAAGAGCATTTAGATCACAGTGGGCGTATCTAGATCTGCATGAGCATGTTTGTAACATTGACCATAAAGTAGTTAACTCTCAAATGACTTACACAATTATATATATAGTAGATTAATTCATTTTATAGCATGGTAAACATTATCTTAGATTTGTATGAATAATTTTGTAAAATCACCCGAATTAAATCTCTGCCCATGAAGAAACGAATGCTCTGTATCTATATAAGTGTTTCTTTTATATAGAAAATAATAAGCTATTTTTTTGTGGTAGCCAATAATATACATATAGATAGGCCACAGCGAGACATTTCATAAAGCATCACACCATATCATCTATATAAAGACAAGCGCCCAAAGCACAACTGAAAACTAGAAAGAAAGGTACAATGCTGGGGGCACCAGCTTACCATTATGCCCATGCATCCAAATAAAAACCACAGCTAGCTCGCGGCAGGAGGGGCCGCAGCAATCGACGTGCCACGACACGAAACTTCTTGATGAGATCATCAATATTCTCAATTGGTGCAAGGAAAAAACGCGGATTGCCGCCCAAATATGTTGTGTGATGGCTTAAATTTGAATACGTGGTGCTCTGAGGGTGCTTGCAAGACTAGTTTGTAAAGAAAAACCTGGTCTCATCCACCCGTGTGTATGTGACTACACACTGGTTAATTTACCATGGACAAACTATCACATGAACATATTTGATCACATGCATTTTTTCATATCTACGGATAGAACCCGTCTGGGAAATATAAGAGACATTAATTAAAATATGTATATAACCAGTGATAGATCTGCAACGGTGCATGTTCTGTATAGTAATTGAGAAATCGGGAGGGAATTTTCTCATGGATGAACAGTACCACAAAAAAGTGGTAACTTATTTTCAAAAAATTCTAATTGTTTTTGTGGATGTTCATGTTAGTGCCACAAGCGCGCTTGACAGTTTTCATGCGACACGGAGCAGTAGTGTTTTGTTGGTGAAAAAACAAATTTGGGTGACATTTTGGGGTAACATTTGCTGTTCTAATTCGTTTTTTTCTTTGCAAAGGCCAAAATGTTTGACTTTTTTGCCTAAAACTTTGCAGGTAGCATTTGAATGTGACTATAAATACATGAAAATTTTGTTGAGATTTTTTTGACATTTTAAAAATTATTTCTCACGCGCAGGAGCACGGGCTCCGAGGAGCCAAATTGGATTTCTCATAGTAATTCATAAAGCATCACACCATATCATCCATATAAAGACAAGTGCCAAAAGTACAACTGAAAACTAAAAAGAAAGGTACAATGCTGGGGCACCAGCTTAACAATATGCTCATGCATCCAAATCTAAACCATAGCTACCTCACGGCGGGAGGGGCGGCAACAATCAATGTGCCATGACACGGAACTTCTCGATGAGCTCATTAATTGCGTCACGCTCTTGCTGCTTACAAAGTATTCTCAATTGCTGCAAGAAAACCGCAAAGTTTATATATGGCATTAGATAGGCGATGCAAAGGAATGTGTTCAGTGAAAAGCTATGCTGCCAAAACCCAACCACTAGATTTTGCGGTCGCGGTTAGAGCTATTCTGCATAATTTCAAAGAAGTCCGGAAAATTGCATGGGCTTTCTTTCAGGACACCCAACAACTTCCTTCAGGCAACTCCAAAGGAACTGTGCAATCACACACATGAACATAATGTGGTTAAAGTCATCATCCACATCACACAGGGGGCAACAACCATCATCAGGGCCACTTCGCTTAAGCACCCGCACTCCCGATGGAATTTGACTACAAACAAGCTGCCAAAGAAAGATACATAGTTTGATGGAGATTTTGACATCCCAAATCCAAGTCAGCTCATCAGGTCCAGGGAGGTTCCAATGGCTTGGTCGAGTGATAATGTTTACTACATACTTCTATTCTTGTAGACTTTGTTGAGCCTCCAAGCACAGAATTTTGTAAGACAACAAGTTTCTCTCAAGTGGATGACCTAACGTTTATCAACCTGTGGGAGGTGTAGGATGAATATATTCTCCTCTCGAGCAACCCCGCAATAAGATACAAGAAGTCTCTTGTATCCCCAACACACTTTATACAATTTTCAATCATATTAGTAAAAAGTTTTGTAATATCGACTCGACTTCGGCCAAGGAGTATGGGAGGGGGATTCCTACAGGCAGTCGGCTCTGATACCAACTTGTGATGCCCCTGATTTGACTGTACACTAATCATACACGCAAACATGTACTGTCAAGATCAGGGACTCACGGAAATATACAACAACACAACTCTACAAATAAAATAAGTCATACAAGCATCATATTACAAGCCAGGGCCCTCGAGGACTCGAATACAAGAGCTCGATCATAGACGAGTCAGCGTAAGCAACAATATCTGAATACAGACATAAGTTAAACAACTTTGCCTTAAGAAGGCTAGCACAAACTGGGATACATATTGAAAGAGGCGTAGACCTCCTGCCTGGGATCCTCCTAACCCACTCCTGGTCGTCGTCAGAGGCCTGCACGTTGTAGTAGGCACCTCCAGTGTAGTAGGAGTCATCGTCGATGGTGGCATCTGGCTCCTCGACTTCATCGTCTGGTCGCAACAACCGGGTATAGAAAGGGAAAGAGAGGGGGAGCAAAGCAACCGTGAGTACTCATCCAAAGTACTCGCAAGCAAGGAGCTACACTACATATGTATGCATTGGTATCAAATGGAAAAGAGGTATCATATGTGGACTGAACTGCAGAATGCCGAAATAAGAGGGGGATAGCTAGTCCTATCGAAGACTATGCTTCTGGCAACCTCCATCTTGAAGCAGTAAGAGAGTAGATGGTAAGTTCACCAAGTATCATCGCATAGCATAATCCTACCCGGTGATCCTCTCCTTGTCGCCCTGTTGGAGAGCGATCACTGGGTGTATCTGGCACTTGGAAGGGTGTGTTTTATTAAGTATCCGGTTCTAGTTGTCATAAGGTCAAGGTACAACCCCTGGTCATCCTTTTACCGAGGGACACGACTATTCGAATAGATAAACTTTCCTGCAGGGGTGCACCACATTTCCCAACACGCTCGATCCCCTTTGGCCGGACACACTTTCCTGGGTCATGCCCGGCCTCGAAAGATCAACACGTCGCAGCCCCACCTGGACACAACAGAGAGGTCAGCACGCCGGTCTAAATCCTATGGCGCAAGGGTCTGGGCCCATCGCCCATTGCACACCTGCATGTTTCGAGGGCGGCCGGAAGCAGACCTAGCCTCCCTAATACAAGAGGAGGTGTTCCAGTCCAATCCGACACGCGCCGCTCAGTCGCTGATGTCATGAAGGCTTCGGCTGATACCATGACGTCGAGTGCCCATAATTGTTCCCGCGTAGTTGGTTAGTGCGTATAGGCCAATGGCCAGACTCAGATCAAATACCAAGATCTTGTTAAGCGTGTTAATTGAATTAACCACGGACGCCAACCAAGGCCAGGCCCACCTCTCTCCTAGGTGGTCTCAACCTACCCTGTCGCTCCGCCACAAAGATTCACTCAGAGGGCCGTCGGGACAAATGTCCTTTCGGACCCAATCCGTGAATCACTCGTGGGGTACTCTATGAGCCGACCCGTCTTTAGTCACCAGAAGTATCATATATTATGTATAAGTATATACCCGTGATTACCTCCCGAGTGATCCCGGCCCGATAGTATAGCATGGTAGACAGACAAGAATGTAGGGCCACTGATGATAAACTAGCATCCTATACTAAGCATTTAGGATTGCAGGTAAGGTATCAATAACTGTAGCAACAATGACAGGCTATGCATCATAATAGGATTAACAGAAAGCAGTAACATGGTACACTACTCTAATGCAAGCAGTAGAGAGAAGAATAGGCGATATCTAGTGATCAAGGGGGGGGGGGGGGCTTGCCTGGTTGCTCTGGCAAGTAGGGGTCGTCAACAACGTAGTCGACCGGGGCACCAGCAGCGGCGTTAGTCCCGTAGTCTACCGGAGAGAAGAGGGGGAAGAAACAATGAATACAATGCAAACAGATGCATAATGATGCATGACATGACAATTAACGGTGCTAGGTGTGCCCTAACGCAGTAGGAGGTGATACCGACGAAGGGGGAAAACAATCGAGAAAGTATTC